ACTAAACAATAGGGACTTTTAGCGAAGCGTTACCATGTTCCGCGTACCGCACTACCGGAGCCTTTAAAGCATGCTTTTAAGCGCGCGTCAGGGTGGTACCCTGACCGCTGGGCGCGCGCTTAAAAGCATGCTTCAAAGGCTCCGGTAGTGCGGTACGCCGTGCATGGTAACGGTTTGCTAAAAGTTCCTAATAACTCGAGCCAATAGATCGTGACAGAAATTAGAGAAAGCCCTACTGGAGCACGTGTCCCATAACTATGATGATCCGATTTACTGCTCCCGCTTGTTCACTTGAGGTTTCGCCTGCTTTCTTCAAAATACACAAAATAACGCGTCTGTACGTTTTTTGTTTCGCATTTTATTTTTACTTATATTGTGCGTGAAAGTTTTTACATGTTAGGTGATAACGCAAACGAACATTGCGAGTTGAAGCATCGGTGTGCAATTATGCTGTGATGATTAAAAGCTCCAGTATAGACGCTATTAATTCGCAGAACGTCAATGGCTATGCCCGCTGACTATCGGACGTGTGGTACGAAGGTGGCGCGGATGGTTGAGGAAATCAGAAAGGGTGGAAACTACGTCGCACAAAAACAACCAGGAGGTGTGTTATGTCTTCCTAGAAAACAAACTAATTAAAAATATATAAAATATCGGGTCTACGTGCCTTGTTTCATTTACTTATGTTATTTTTTCTTAGTAATCCAGTTTTAAGCGACAACTTTACATTATGGTACTATATATAAATAACATGTAGACTGCTCGCTGCGCCCATCAAGAGATGGTAGCACAATCTACAATAAAATCGGTCGTCGGGAAGCACGTCCGCCCTTTACCTTTACAACTTTTTCGGTCTAACTTTTTACAAAAAGAGAGCTACGCCCTCAAACTTCATAAGGTAAAATCCGCTACCTAAATGCACAATCGGCGAATAGTTTAGCCTTTCTATGTGCAGGCGCTGATTTCTCCGGTTGTTTTTACAACGTTAGGATCCATTCTGGTCACCCTTTAGAGCATACTGCAAACGACTCATTTTCGCGGGGAACTAATTTTCGCAAACTTCGCGGAATCGCCCACAATTCGCGAAAAATAAGTCCCGCGAACAATTCCGGTAAAATATGAACACATTGGAATCTATATTGAGATCCCACCGCGTCGCGAAAATTACAACCCGCTAATCATCCCAAAACTTCAGCTTTTACCTAAATCGCGAAATATTCTGCCCGCGAAAAATAAGTCGTTTACAGTATTTGCTGTTTCTTTCCATATAGTTTGTCACGTGACATCGAAGTTCCTTTTCCAGATTAGTTAGCCGCCGGTTGACAGAGCCGCAGTGATCAGCGAACCGGCCTACGTGGGCATGCCGCCAGTAAAAAAAAAGTTGACTAAACTCGTCACGGGGAATTCTCCACAAAACTTGCAACGGCTGACAAGGAAAATGTAGCCGGAAGAGGAGGAGACCCACCTCGAGACTAACCCTAAAGCACACTAAATCAGCTTTATATCAATGCCAAATCAGCGCTGATTAGCGTTCCTGGTCCGGCCTAACCGCAGTCGAGGAAGTCATAAACGGAAAAAAGAGGTGAAGGCTTACTTGAAATGCAGTACAGTGTACCGAATTGGGGGAAGATAAGATAATGGGAAAGCGTGTTCCTGATAACTGACGGTCGAAAGAGACACCAGGCGCTCGTCTCATAAACAGACAGAATCAACGAACTTCGAATTGCTTTCGCGAGAGGAAAGGTAAGGCTCCGTCATTTTACGTACATCCCCTACGCTGAGCGGAAGTTCGTCTGCTTCTTGCTCAGGGGTAGCGGTGACGCCAGAACGTCAAGCTCCGATTTGCTCCGATCGGAAAGAGAGTGAATAGACCTCAACCCTAGCTGCCTTGAGGCCTACTCACTATCCTTCCAATCAGAGCCAATCAGAGCCAATCAGAGCTCGGCGTTCTGACGTCACTGCAACCACTGCGCAAGGAGCAGACGAACTTGCACTCCGCGTAGCCACGGAGAGCTTAAGAAACGCAGGGCGAGGCTAGTCACGTGCCTAATATTAGTGTTCAGCAGCCAATCACATTGCGACATATCAGCTGATGAAAACGCCGCGGAACGAATAGTGAATCGAGAAAACTGATTATAATATTAGGCCACGCCCCGTCTTTCTTAAATTGCCACTGTCTATTGTTTCTGGTAGTTTTTTTTCATTTAGATTTATGTTTTTTTGTGCGCGCTCTATAGTTTGAGGTCTGTGTCACGAAAAAGTAGTGTAAAATCTACGCGAAACCGTCAAGACGAACTGGAAGTTTCTTCGGAAAAAAACAAGCAAAGACTGCAAGAATCAACGCTTTTTTGTGTGTGTGTGTTTTTGCTCTTGTTTTTGCGAAGAATTGGTTGCTCTCGTTTGGAACACCCTCTTTCCATCGCTGCCGTTTATTGGTGTCTTATACTAGGCAAAACCGCTTCCATGATTAAACATGTATGCACACTGATGCAGTTAATAACAAGGAGTCACGGCTAACGTTTTTTGTTACACATACGGCGGTGTTTCACTGAGTGTGTTAGCTCTCACCGCATAATTGAGTTTTTATTGTCTCGACGATTTTATGTGTGCTCGAGAGAAATACAATTATTGGAAGAGTGAAGTGATTACTCCGTGGAGATTGGCGTGATCGCTGTTTAAAAGAAGAAGAAAAAGAAGTATAAGTGAAATTGACGCTGCTTTTATCCCGTGCATCCGAATATCAGGTTCGTTTTCCCTCGGAGAGGTCTCTAAAAGCGAGAAAAGACGATAAACCTCCAAGCAGTCGTTACGTCATGCTGGGATCTTTCGGCTGCCAAGCGCGTCTCGCTCGTGTGGTCCACACGTGCCATTGCAAGCTTGCCAGGTATCCGCGACTTCAGCAAAACGGACGGCACCTGGCGGGAAAGCACTGAACTGACCGGAACAGGTCCTTTCGAGATTTCTGGTCGTCTCTTGTGGCTTCAATGATAACACGTTGTCGGTGTTTCGCGCGATAGAACAGTTGTGCCAGTGACTCTGTCGGAACTGTGTATCGGCTTGTTACCCAGGTTGCTCTGAACGCAACCTACAAACCGCGTGAACCAAGCATTCCGCGTTTATCAACGTTCATCAGCACCGGGGGAGGACCATAGGCAGTCCTTTCATCGCTTCTTCAAAGAAAGTTGAGCCCCTGGAAGCTGGCTTACGCCAACACATCGCCGCAGGTTCGAAACGTGGAGAATAAAATTCGGGGCAAACCATTTGGAGTCCAATATTTGCTTCCTGATGCCCCAGTGCTGTGCGTTGAGCTGGAGCAAGGAACGGCACGACCTCTATTAGACAGCCATATTTGCCTGATAGTGGCGTCCCCTATAGGTGGCTGGAGTCGCGAATATTCTCCCGCACTGGCACCAGTCGTGACGTCTCTTTGTGACCTTTTTGCAAATAGCAAGAGTGCGCGTGCATGCTTTGATTGGAGGGTGTTGTATGTGTATAGAGTCTAGAACTTAGTCTGCCTCAACGGGCAACGAGTCTCCCAGCTGTAGATGAGCAATTTAGCCAGTGCAGTACAACCTCTAGCCTGGGGTCCTTAACGTGCACCACGCATTAGTGATACACGACCGCACGCCGGTGTTCGGTGCTCATCCAGATCGAAACGTGCAGGGGTGGGGATGGAACGCAGGATCCCTGGGTTCTGCAGCTCGAGCTTTCGCTACACGTGCTCGGAGCTGATGTGTGCTAGTTCGCTCGACCAGCAATCCGCCTGCATGCTTTGATAGGCGTTGAAGGTGCGCCAGAGCGGAGATTCCGAAAACTCGTGATATGACGTCAAGCCCCGGAGTAGGGTCTTCAGCGGTATTTTGAAAAAGGTTTTCTACTCTCTCCGTGGACCAAATTGAGAAATAATCTGGAGGCCAAATGAAGGCGATTAGGTTGTTTATCCTCAAATACAGAACTGCTTCAGTTTCCTTTTCACGGTTGGGATAAGGAAGGGCGGGTAAATGAATTTGAGGAACATGGATATCTCTAAATCCTAAACAATCCGCTCATTGTTGCGGTTGTTTTATATTAAAGTACGTTTTTTTATTTTTTTTTTTTATTTTAAAGTATCATTTTGTAACGGTTTAGTGAGGTCATTTTGTTCTTAAACTTCCTCATTCAGGTAAGCGAGTTAACTTAGTGCCGGGGTCACACTGCTCATACCTCACACAAAGAACAGTCTGCAAAACACGAGTCACCGCGATATCCGTGGTTCGAATGCCGGGTGCCGAGATTCCTCCTTGAACTCATCGTCCTGCGGCATTGGAAGCACGGATCTCGTCTTCACTGGCTTTGGAATCTGTATGCAGACTGTCTTTTGTGTTATGTATAAGCAGTGCGACCCCGGCTTATGTGTTTCTCCATTGGGAAGACGAAGGGAATTTGTCAGCCCATTTCGTGAACTTGTGTGTAGGCTACACTGGCACAGGATGTGTTCGAGTGTGTCAGTGACGGCACACTTCTCACAGAGAGAAGGGTCCAGCTGTCCGATGAGGTTAAGATAGTATTTCGTTGAGGCTACGTTGAGTCTGACGTTTAGGACTGCGGAATGAACGAAACACGAGGAACGGGTCAATGCTCTGCCGCTTTCTTTGATACTAAAGTGGATTTGTCCATTAGTATTTTACCAGAACCTCGATAATACGACGGTTGGTTCTAGTTCTCTAGTCCTCGCGTGTGTTTCTTTTAAAGGAGGTTATTAAGCCGCGGACTCGGTGAGCATGCTTGATTGCTAAATTAGCACTATTATTGCCATGGATATAATAAGGGCTTGGAATCCATTGTGATGGCCTGGGATATCACAAGTGCTTGAAATCCACTCTATACATATTTTCAATAGCCTCCTGATTATTTGCTCAACGTCTGCGTGAACGTGCCTCGTTTTCCGGTGTTGTTCGACCCTTCTTTCTTTTCTTTTTTTTAACACCTAATAATGTTTGCCTTTCTCACCCTAGACGCGGTTTGTATATTTGCAAAAACAAAACACAGTGGAAGATGCCGGGAGGAGGGTTTGCCAATGAGACAGTCTTCGTTGATGAGACGGTTGTTGATGTGGCCCGAAAGATAATCCAGATACAGGTATTTATGACCGTATACGTCTTTCTAGTGCATGAAACGAAACGGATTTACACGACTCCATTGTCAGAAAGTTAGATAAAACTGGTGTATGTTTTATTTTATTTATTACTGAGCAGTTTGAACGATACGGTTATTTTTTTTCCTGCTATCTTTTAACATAAATAGAAATAAAAATGATTTAATGTTCAGGGGCTCAAACCGGTATGCGGAACTCAAAAGATATGCTTGTCGGCCCCCATTTTTTTCCCGTTTTATTTACCTGGTCGATCTCTAATTTTTACGAGTTGCTTGTTTATCCGCTTATCGAGCTTGCCACAGGTGGCATCGTAAATTGCCAAGGCTTAATATGGAGCCCGAGGACACCTGTCAGGTGAATCGCGTCAAATTCGTACACATGACAACCGTTTTGGGTCCCCATTCCGTGAAATAAAAGTGTTTTCAAGAAATATCAAAATTATAAGTGCTTTCCGTTCCATGATACACAGGAAATTAAACTCCTTGGGAACATTGAGATCTTTTGTCAAGAAGAGCAGAAATTTATCATTTTGAAATTGTAATCTACAAAATCCTATGCAAAAAAGAAACGGTTGAGCCGTGGAATAAATACATTCTGCGTCCAAACGTTTAATTACTGTTTATTGTTATTGTATGACTCTCATCTAAAATATTCCAGGGGAAAATTGAGATATTTGGGTGTTGGTCAGTTGTTGTTTGACATCCGTAAGGCGTTGACGTGCAAGAAAGTTTGGGATAGCGCGTTACAAGCAGTGTTGTACGGAACGGCGTTCCAAGGAACGACGTTCCTGGAACGCGTTCCTTTTAGGAGGAACAAAGGAACGCCGCCGTTCCATTTTTCATCAGTGGAACTGGAACGGGAACTTGTTACATTTTTACTGGAACGGAAAAAGGAACGGCGTTCCTTTTTTTCGTCCAATGGGGTAATTTGTATTTTGATTCTAAGAGGGAAATTCTAAAAGTGTAAAAACCATATCTTTACAAAAAGCAGGGTCTCGTTAAATTTTTGGTTGCTTGGGGTTTATTTTGTCTAGTCCTTGCTTGGTAACAGTCGGGTGCAGGAGAGCTACTGGACATTTGTTATTTTTGCCGTGCCTGAGAGTGCGGTATGAAACGGAAAACGTTTAGTCGAAGGAAAAGACACAGAAAGAGGGACGTTTCAAACTTATTCACTTTCTTTTCTTCCACGAATACTCATACACCCAGAAATCTCAGGCCGACTACAGCCATCACTGAACTTCCAAAAACAGACCAGTTACAACGAAAGGACAGGTTACTTGACATCGAACGCACCCTTGTATCCCGAATATTTGGTCACTTAAATTATACAAAAAATTAATCTTTACTTCTCTTATTCCCAAGCTTCAAACGAAACAACGAATCTACACTTCACGGAGAAGGACTTGTTTTTTTCAAGACTGACATTCAAAAGCCGTACCCTCTTCTTTACTTGCTCGTCTTGCGGACGCCAACATCGAGAAGCAACCGTTGTTAAGTTCGAACAAGGTACTTTGTTAGATTGAAACGCCTGAGGTTGTCGTAAAAAGCTCGTGCAATGTGGGGTAACAGTACATTTGGCTCGCCTGAATCGCCCATCCAAAACAGGAATATGGTAAAACGCTGAGAATTTTAAAAGTGAATATATAAAAAAAAAAAAAAAACTGCTGTCGTGTGTCTTCTTCTCCTGTTGCCCTGCCATCACTGCATTCAAATTCGTATGTTGCCATTTAATGGGTTATATTAAAAAAACACTTCGCTTGATCTAACTAATTATGGCAATAAGAAAAATGTGAATGTAACGTATATGTTCCATTTTTTAACTGTAACGGGAACGAGTTCCTTTCTCACAGATGGAACTTGTAACAGGAACGCGTTCCAAAAATCAGAAGGAACGAAGAACGAGCTTTCGTTCCTTTTTTTGAGGAACGTGTACAACACTGGTTACAAATAACATAGTACTTTGATCAAGTTAACTTTTTTTTGTAACCAAGAAGCGACTTAGTTTTTTCGCGAGAAGGAACGAACAACGAATTTTCGTTATATTTTGATGGAGCAACGAGCGACAGTATTGTTACTTCTGGATAGGAATGTGTACAACACAAGCTGCCCTATCTTGTTTTCATCCCCGCTTGTGCCTATGATTTTCACGGCAAAAGGCGCCAACAAGTAAAAACGAAAGGTTCCCATGAATGCGTTTATAAGCCAAGTATTATTAACGACCCGAAATATTGGAACTGATATTTTTAGCCCTGGTGCGTTGGGAATCAGAATGAAAGGAAAGCACAAATCTGTGTTTCTGTTTTCCCGCTCTCCAGGGTTAAAAGAGGAAGTCAGTTCTTAACATGCTCGCCTGCAGCTTTGCATAACCTTCACAAAAATATTGGTAGGCGGCCACTGCTTCAAAAAAAAACACACCCAGAGTAACGAGAAAGGAACTCGTTACGTTGGAGCCCAAGTAATGCGTATATTTTTGTCTCAGTAACGAGTAACGTGTTTGGTTACTTTTTGAGCGAATGGTCGAGTGATGGTATTTTGTTACTATTTTAGGTAACATGTACATGTCTGAAAAGCATGATCACATAGTCTGAAGAATTTTTTCAAGATGGAAATAAAAGGTAGAGCTTTCCGCGAATCGATCCATTGTCATTACTTCCTCTCATGGTGGGTACAAAATGCACCGACGCGACAATCTAGCTTCGCAAAAATGTTCCTCTTAAAGGGTTCATGAAATGATTTTCCTACTTCTTCCTCCTTAGCTTTAATCCTCAACTCAATTGCGAATTGTGAAATCACGTGGTCGTGACATTCCTTCGGCACCGGTGCGATGACTCCTAGCTTCCACCGTGCTTTTTATGCACACCATAGAACTTGTCATCCCCCAGTGACGATAAGTTCCGTCAGGGCACTCATTGGCCACGAACGCGAATCCAAATATTCATCGACGGATTGATTGTTGACGAGCGCATACGTCCGAGTGACGCAGTTCTCGTGTCCAATGCGTGAGCTGGCCTCGGCTGACGTCAGTTTGGCGCCGGTGACGCGCTTTTGGAACCGCGGATGTATCAAGTGAAAAGGCAGAGAGCTTTCGAAGGCAAGAAGGTACAAAATAGTCCGCTATATTTTCAAATGTTCGTACCGAAAAGCTGGCTTTTGACTTTCTAGCCTCTTTCTTTTGGCCAACTAAACGATATGCGATTAGTGAAGTGCCATTTTAAAATCATTCATCCCAACCCAAAATTCGTTTCATGGCCCCTTTAAGGGAGCGCCAGTTCGATGAGATTACTTTCCAAAGCCCTGTGCATACACTTATGCTTCCAACTATACTTTGTTTCAGCTTAAAGGGGTACTCCGGCGATTTTTAGAGCTACCCCTACTAACTTTAATTTCTGAATCACCGGCCATTGCCCTTTCCTGTGTAGTATTTAGTATCGCGAAATTCAAAATATTTATTAAGAAATCGGCAAATGAAAATGATGCCAAAAGGCTTTTCAGTGCTGTGACAGCAGTGGCAAGAATGCGCGCCAGCCGAGCAGAGCAGTCTAACAAATGAACTATACCTACCATTTGATTCCTGCCGCTGCCCGGGTACTGTAGCGAGCTTTCGATGCATTCATTTGACACCAAGAAACTGCTTGTAATCAGTTGGGAACAAATCCTACAGTCCAAAGAGTGAACCCGTGTCAACCGCTTGCGTCATTTTTTTTTTTTTTTTTTGTCGATGCCAGAAGCGGCTTTCAGTTTGAAAAAACACCATGAAGACCAAAATTGTAAGTTCGATAACTTGGGTAAAAAAAAAATAATTTTGACCCAATATTTGAGATACTATTTCAGGGATGTGTGTAAGTGCGCTTAGAAAAATTTATGAAAAATCGGAGACCATGAAGAAAACGGCAGAGTATTTCCGGAAAAGAAAATCCTTTTTTTTTTAACAGTCAGGGTGGGACACCCGTATAAAAAACTTAATTTTACGCCAAAAAAAAAAAAACATGTTTTTTTTTTTTTAGAGCAATATTGACGGTGCGAGACGCGATTTAGTCGGTAGTCACCTCCTTTCCACTTGTTTTCCCTCTCGGCATCTCGGGCGCGTGGAGGAGAGGTGGACCGGCTTCGCCTTTACGTTGGGGAGGAAAGAGCGAATTAGCATCTCGTAAAGCAAATGGCCATTCCGCGACGTCATGGACTTTGCGCGCAAAATTTCAAATAAACCTCTCGCCGTCAATATTGCACTAAAAAGATCGAGTAAAACTTATTTTTTGACTTGCGTGTCCCAAACACTGTTTAAATTTTTGTTTTTTCTCATTTTACGGGTTGAGCAGCGTTATAAGCGTAAGTCACTGGGACTCTCTTGTACGTGATCGGTTCAGCGATGATAGAATACGCACAGCCACATGACGAACATCATGCTGATGCGCTTTCCGCCAATGGGGATTGGCCCCGTCAGCTCGTATACCGTCGTCTGCGTCTGGACTTAAGCAGAAACAAGGTATAAAGTCTATGGACCAGAGCCAAAAAGGAAGTTGGTGGTTCGGAGTAACGTTACTTTAGTCATCTTGGTGCTCAAAATCATCGTTGTCAGTTATCTGAAGCTTTATCTGCAATCCCAGGAAACTGCATTCTATCCTACGTAAACCTTAGAGCAGTCCGCGACGGAGCAAAACGACGTTGCCTGGGTTTCCTGACGCAGAATCTAAGGCCCATGAAGTCGCATTTTCAAATAGTCAGGATCGCCAAAAGCACCCGCTCCGCGCTAAGCACTAAAATGGCGGACCCCACAAGGAAAACTGGGAATGCATTGCGGATGCTTTAAGCGTTTACTGGCTCTATAGTTGTAACTATACACCTTTTCCACAAAGGCGCCGCCATCTTGAACGTCGTCACTTCCCGTATTAGCAAAAACATTGTTTTGTCGTCCCCACGGCTGTAGAAGACATTTAGGATATGAGCGTAATCGTCCCCCATTTTCGTTCTGCCCCACGTCTATTTTCTACTATTTCCGGGTTGAAATTAGTTATTATTTCTTTCGTCGCCTGCACCGGATATGTCCGCCAGGTGGCCTGGGTCGAGAGCAAGAAAATAAGGCGCATAAGACTCTCGCAGTGCTCCGTCATTCGTGCCCTCCAAGTGGTAAAAAAAAAAAAAAAAGCCACAACTGATTTTTTTTTTAACAGTGCCGAAACTGCGGATGACAGTGCGCTATTCGATTTAAACCACAATGAGCACATCCTTACAGGAAACGGACGATCCGTTCTTCGTATGTGACGTCAGAGAAGTGGAGCGGAAGGTGACGCTATGGAAGCAGGAACTGCCTCGCGTGATGCCCTTCTACGGTGAGCAATGCAGTACATCTAGATGGATAGACAAAAACTGATAGAAGAATAGAAGTTTAAGGTATGTACGTACGTTCCCTATGTGTAGATACGTCGGAATTTATACCCGTTCACTAAATTGTATTAGTACCCCTCAAGAAAATGAAATTTTGAAACCAACCCTTTTATGCATTGATGTATTGATTTCAGATAAGTAATAATCAGTTACTTTATTGATTGAACGACAAACTGACTGCATGAGTGCTGCGTTTTTTATCACTCATTTGATTATTTCATTGATTTATTGGCTGATTGACTGATAGAGTGTTTATTTATAGGTCAGAGCACAGCCCATGGTCGGCACGGAGTATCGAGAGTGTTTGCCGTGCAGCAAAATCCTTCTTTATGGTATTAGTATTAAAAGTAAACGAGAACATTTTTGTTTATACATTTCATGAAACACGAGACATGCTGTATACATTAATGCTTCTTTACATCTATATGATTTTTTCCATATAATTTCTTCGTAGAGTACGAAACGACTCCTGTATTTTCTATTTTAATTCGTACCTACTCGCACATTTGACGGGATGGACACTAAAATGACGTTGTTTAAACACAGCCGTGAAGTCTTGCAGAGACACCGTCGTCCTGGAGGCCCTGAATGTTCTCGGTGTGAACTTCGACTGTTCAAACAGGGTGAGCAAAACGCTTCAGCATTTTCTACTAGCGTTCGGTTTGCTCGTAGCTAGCCCACGTTGCAAATTCCTTCTTGTGCTTCCCCAGTATTGTTAGAAGAATGTTAAAAGCGCTAAATATTACTTATATTGATAAACACACACACCATACACACACATTCCCCGCGTTTGCGGTAGATTAACGCATATTCTCTTCTTACATTTCTGTTACCAAGTAAGCTGCTCTTTGTCGTCCATAAACAAATCTGAGATATAAAAAACCAAAAACAAATATTACTCGCCAAAGTGGAAGTGCGTCCTTGTTTGTATAAACGAAGATAATCAAAGTGAGTAATAAGAGTACAAAAAAGAAATTTCAGACTTGTTAAGTACGTTAGCGTAATGTGTGCTGTCAGACCGAGGCTTTCAAGAGATTCTTCCACCTTTCTGTCGTATATAATGATGTCCGACAAGAAATGTATTACCGGCGCCCTCAATTTCAGGAAGAGCTTCAGACGGCCTTCGACATGGGAGTCGATCCAAATCGCATCGTGCTCGCCAACACTGCCAAGTGCACTTCAGATCTGAGATTCGCCGAGCAACACGGCGTCGCCCTCATGACCGTCGACTCGGAGGAAGAATTGTATAAGATAAAAGACCCAGAAGCTAGGTACCATCCTTTCGCTATCACGTGTTTAAACTTCCCTTTTCCGCAACCAACCGGCCTCAAATTCACGCACACAGGTTTCATGAGTCGCAAACAAGTACAATGGTCATTGTTCAATAATAGAGCATGGAATGTTGTTTGTCTTTTTTTTTTAATGGCAACCCATAATCCCAGAAATGTGTTCGTCTGTCCGTCCGTCTGTTCGTCCATGAATATCCCTGCTAGATTCAGCGGGGAAATCGACGTCACATGACGTCATGGTGTAATTACTGCACGATTTAGCACCACAATGACACGACACCTGACCTCGTCGCGTGACGTCGGATCAAGTAACCTCAATATTTCCGCTAAATTTAGTGCATGGGACGTCAGGTCACGTGACATTAATTCACCCACTGAGTTTAGCCCCGTAAATTAAGGGACAATATGTTCTTCTTCTCCCCGAAATAACAGTTAATGAGGACTTTGAATATAATGGTTGCTGGTCATTCCTTTTATATTTTTGCCGACTAGTTACCAAGTACCAACACTACAACCAGCCGCTCCTTGCGCAGGTTAATGCTGCGCATCACCACCAACGAGGCTGGTAGTCAGATGACGATGAACACGAAGTACGGATGCACTGTGGAGGAGGCGAAGACAGTGCTACGAACTGCGCAGCGCCTAGGCTTGAATGTCGTCGGTGTTTCGTAAGTGCATAGCAATGTTGCGCCTTCCGCGTTTGCACAAGGCGCGACAGGGCGATATTCCTAATGCAAACAAGCGATCCTTTTTTTTTTTTTTTTTTTCGTATTTCTCCTAAAATTGAATTACTGTAATCAAAACAACCATCATGAAGTGCTCGGTCAGGGAAGCAACTTAAGAAGCAGCATTAGTGCTCTCAGCGAAAACTTGCCGGATTATCTTAAAAATCTTTCTCGCAAAAAAAAAAAAAAAGAGGCTTTTTTTTTAACATTGATGTTGCATTGGAGGACCAAAAGGGAGACAATTTGTTTGTACCACCTTTTACTATTTCCGCATGTAGCCGAGTAAGCGACACCGACTTCGTAGTTGGTAACACTGTGTTAAACACTTTTGGATGTACATATACAACAGCAAAAAATACCAACGTCGTGTTCGGGCGAACTGTGTCGTACTGCTAGAATGCGTCACCAAAGGTGGCTTAAACAAAAATCTAAATTAAAAGAAAGGATCCGGAAGGTCACATTTATAAAAGCCGGGCCCGGGCATCAGCTCATTACCGAGTCTGGTAATGAGGGCAATCATGTGACAAATTGTGGAATGTCAATTGGTTTGTGTTGGTTGAAGAACGTAGCGATTCGATAAACTTCCGGATATGAATGGCCCGACTGCTCCATGTTTTCGCTAGGGCGTTTTCTTTTATTTTTTAACGAGACACTGAATTAGTGTTTGAAAGATTAATGTACCTAGATCTAGCCTTCTCATCTCAGACTTTCCCCAGGTTCCATGTTGGTTGTGCCTTCAAGCACCCCGAAATTTTCGCGTTCACCATCGAGTCCGCTAAAGCCGTATTCGACGTCGGCAGTGAATTTGGATTCAAGATGTCACTGCTCGACATTGGTGGCGGATTTCCTGGCGGTCTTCGGAAACACGACACATTCTTAAAGGTGCTTTTTGCGTGAGGCAGTTATATATCTAGAACTGCAGCGAACGCCCGCCATAGACCCTTTTCTAACGTCCGCGCTAACGCCTGTTCGCCATTGTTTGCTCACATACTCTAAGCATGGATTGGATACGATGCCTGCGTCAGCATTCGGCGTGGAATCGGATCCAATCACGCGCTTCGGGTCCAAGCGATGGCGACTATCAATGTTGCTCGATTCGATGGGCTTTAGAAAAGGGTCATGCCCCACGTACAAGTTATCGTTGTTTCTCCACCTATAGGTAAAACTAAAACGCCAGTTAATGACTTTTTTATGTTGTTTTGTATATATTACAGTTGGCGACAGGCTAAGAACCAAGTGTACGTATCCCGCCTCCAGCACCAGCTCCTTGCCTCCTGCCGGACCGGGCAGAAGGCAAGTGACGGTAGCAGTAATAGGTTGCTCGGGACCCACCACGCCCTCCGTTTCTTAAGCTGTCAGTAAATGTAAAGTTGCAAACAAGTTTCTCCCTCTAAGCTCCTTGTTTACGTGTGCGTCTGTTTACGTAGCTGCACGCTCACGAGAAAGAAATTGAGACGGTTAATTCTGTGAGATGATTCAGGCGCCAAAAGCTTTATTCAGGAGCGTTTTCTTTGTCTTATATGAAAACTTGAGTTCCAACTGTTTTGTTTTGTTTGATCTAAGGTATGTGAGGCTGTCCGGTTGTCAATCAATCGGCACTTCCCCGAGTCGAGCGGAGTGCGGGTGATCGCCGAACCTGGTCAGTTTTTCGTTACATCGGCTTTCACTTTGGTCACCAAGGTTGTCGGGAAAAGAAAACGGGACATCGTCTTTGATGGTGAGGATTCCTCTGTTATATATGTTACTGGAATCACCACAATTGTTGGGATGATGGTAAGTAAGTTTTGCGGGCCTGTAGGTTTAACTCTTGGTTTCGTTTCATTGAGGTAGACGTGGTAGTTGACCCAAGGCATCCTGAGTGATAATTTGCTGCTTGCAGTGCGTATCTCGTGTGTTGTTTTCTCTGTTAATATTACGTGTTTCTAAAAGAAGGAGAGTTGAAATCAGAACAGAGAGACGTAGTTGATTTTAAGAGGTACACTGCTAGCTTCAAGAAAATGTTATCAGATTGTTTGTTGATAATCAACAACCTGTGCAATAATCGCAAGCGGGAAAGATAATGGCAAAAATAAAGTAAATAATTGTGAAAAGTAAAAATATTTTTGCTTTGTTTGCAACTAAGAGTTGCCCTCAAGCCGGTTCTTACTGTAATGAATTTTGGTCTGCTTACTAATTAGGGTTTTCCTGATTATTTTGTGAAGAATGATTATCTATCACGTGCAAGAGCCCCTGCTCATTTCTTGCATTCACTAAAAATTGTGGTTCTTTCTCTAAATGTCGGTGAGCTAGTCGGGACGCTCAAGACGTCAATAGCGTTATGTAGCAGACATGTTACCCTGTTTGTGGTGGACAATACAAAACGTCAACAATTCCATTTAAAGTCCATAAAGCCTGCCATGTTACAGACGGGGGTTAATCCGTTTGGTATATCGCACGGTTTAAGATGATGTTGACTTCAAATTTATAGATGTCATGATCTTAATTTATGCAATATGATCTTTAGGTTTCTCCTACGCACACGAAGATGTCTTTATCAACGAAAGCAAATTCAACTCCATTCCTCGTGGAATGTTCCAGTACCTAGACGTCACATTTCGTCCATTGGACGTGAGTTTTGCATTATCATTCCGCCTGCTAAAGAAGCAAACTATGAGCCGTAGTTGTTTTCTTTAAAAGCAAACACCGCCCTGGGAGTCGCTTGTAAACCATGACGTGGAATGCAGTTATTAAACTTCATTCGTAATATCCATTTTGGGGCTTGTTATTCCCTCTACACGCCATTCATACTGCACCGACTCACACAACGTTTATTTGAAGAGGGTGTATTAGGGTGTAAATGTTGAAGTACGCGTTCTTTTCTGGCGCGTTTTAATACCGAAACACTTCACTCCGACAGCCGCCCTACGATCGGCCTCGCAACGTCCTCACGACCGTATGGTCGACGTCGGGCAGCCCTCTGGACCGCGTTCGAGACAAGGACCTCCTCTTCGACGTGGCCGTGGACGAGTGGCTTTTGATGGACAACATGGGGGCCTACTCCCTCGTCCTCACCTGCGGCTTCAACGGCTCCGGGTTTCCGCCCGTCAAGTACATCGCGTCTGCAGCCAGCGCGTCTCGAGTCCAGGCCGTCCTGGACTCGTCCGCTGTGAGCACCGGCTACGGACAGCTTAATCAGGCGCTCAACTCCCGCGGCAACAAAAAACCGTAGTTCGATGAAGCCGGAACATTGTGTGCTTCAATTCGAAAGCTCTAAGGTGCTTCAGAATCGGCTTGCTAGAAAAGCATCTCAGTCGAGATTGGGTGAAAGGAAGGCAGGTTGTAAAGGCTGGGACGCGCGAGCGTCTTGAGACACAGTTCGAGTCCCGCTCAGCTCGTCCGCTAGCTTTGGCAGTGCTTTCTTTCAGCCGGTCTCAGCTGAGACGCCATTTCTAGAAAGCCGGACCTGCTTGCCAGAATCAGCGTCTTAGCTTAGGCGGCTACCTTCCAAGCCTGGGGCGTGCGAGCTCTTGGGACCCGAGGTGTTTAGAGAAAAATCTAACCCTACTTATAAGGCCTCCTGCGCTGAAGCTTTGAACAAACTGTAGCGCCCTCATTTTGGGGTAGTACAAGCTCACCTGATGGAGCCTCGCAATACTTATGGCACGTTGGTTGAGCTTTTTTAACTCTGTCCTGGTGCTGAAGAACGAAAAAATACCTTTGGACGCCAGAAATCGGCCAGAAATCGGCCAGACTAAACGCCGCAAGGCAATCAAAAGTGCCAAATTCATGACATCACCGGGTACGCGTCTCTTATCTCTGGGTGGTGACGTCAGGTGACGTTAAAACACCTGCGTGGTGACGCTTTCATTTTTCTTTTTCTTGTCATGTCTACTTTGGAACGCGTGAAACGGCATCTCTTGGCTCACGCTCTTAGCTTTGACGGCGTTCGAATTTTTCTTGTTTCTTTGTATTTTCATCGTGATCTCGCGCTCCGCACCGAAGCAGGCACGCTTCTGCAAGCGTGACAGTTTGAGACGCTAAAGTTTGCACTACACAAAACAAGGCCTAACAAGTCCCTTTTCGCAGCACCCCTGGGCAACGCAAGAGGTCCACTGTTGGCAGCAAACTGTCGCAAGTACGCTCCTTCGGAAGCCCTGTGCGGGTGCTTGTTTTCATAGCAAGATAGGAGTAAGCCTAGCGTCCCACGTCGACTATGCTGCTCGATCTCATCTTTAATCACAAAGCTTGCTCTGTGAATTGTAATGTACAACCGTAATGATTAAATTCATGGTTTCAATACCTAGAAGAAACCTACACAGGTAAAAATTTGCGTGCCATTTTGGCTGGAGAAAATTAACCGTTTGGCTCGCATCAAGTATGTCCAGGTATGTTCCCGTCATTTCGCTTCGAAAGGCAAGTAGCTCTCAAGTTTTGCAGTGCGCCTGGCCTAACAATACCAAATACCGTGGAAGCCAATACTGGCAACTCCCGCGGAAAACGGGCGAAAAGTGATTGCAGCGCCCCTGGCGAGCTCGGAGTCTCCGCTGGCAGACAAATTCTCCGAAATGCATTGGTTTTGCCTATCTCCGTGCGAGGTGACCAACGAAAAAAAATTGTCACGGACATTCGCTGCTTTGAAAGTTAAAAAATGGGTGCCAGCTCATGAGTGAAGGACATTCTCTTCGCGTGGGAAAGATGTTACAGCTTTCTGGGTGCAATTTCGGAGTTCTCCCGAAGAAAACATTCTGTCACAACTTATGTAAGCCAACCAAAACACGAATGTATGCCTTCGCGCTGTTTCGTGAAAAAGGGGAATGTAAAAACATTTCAGAACATAGCTTCGTTTCAACTTTATTGTTCTTATCAGTCAATTCGTTTTGTTGTTGCAATTCCCATTTCTCATAAATGTCTTGCTTATAACCGTTTCGTCGAACAGGCGAGCTGGCTATTCGCGTTAAGATCGTCTCCGGATGAAGAAGCAGAAGTCAATTTCGAACCACGTACGTTACGCCGATGTCAGTATGCTCCGAAAGAAGGCGTTGTGCATATGCAAAGCTGACGCGATTATAGATTAACAAAAGCGGAGTTACGAAAAAAGCAGACTTCTCGCGCTTGCAAAGAAAGAAGGGGAGAGCGTCGTAGCCCCGCAAAAAAAGATGATTTCAGTCACGTTATTTACAGTGCACAAATTCCGATTGTTAGCGCGGGGACGACCAACATCTTCTGCTTCGCTGCTTCTTTACTTCTACGGTAAAGGCCGACACCCGTTGAACCGTCTCCACTCTTTTTATTTTTGAGTCTTCTTTCTTTTATATTTTTGAGGCGACGGCACTCTGCCGCGGTATTTCTTCCTTCTGCTTATATGTTGCTGTGTATATTTTTTGTTTGCTTTTTTTTTTTTTTTTTGCCCGACGTGTAAACAATCGCGTATCCTTGCTTTGTTTGGCTTAGTTTTTACTCCCTTTCCTTCGCTTCGGCGCTTACTACCCCCGGTTCGTCTGCGCTAGGCCCGGGCATTTTGAGGGCCGTCTGCAACTTTGCTGTTGTGTTTGTTGTTTTCTTCCACTGTCGTCTCCGATAACCTCCTATTTTCGCCTTCGATTCAGTTTGTAATCCAAAATCGTCATACGTGCTTTTTGATATTTATTAAATATATTAAGAAGTGTAAGCTCGTTACCCATTTTTATTCAAATTTTATTTGTGTACTCCGGCCAGCACGTCTGCTACGGCTCATCGTTTGTTGATCAACCGGCCGCATTCAAGAACAAGTTTGTGCGATGTGGTGGAAAATCGTTCTTCTGGTTCCTACATCGACCTACGGACACCTACGTCAACAAGTACTTGAATGCACTTTTAAACTGCTTCGTCAAGCGAGCGAACGAACAACCCGCCAAAGTCAATTGGAAAAAGAAATTCGAAAGCAAAAAAAAAGGTTACTCACTGCTAGCACATATAGAAGATTGCTGCCTGCGACCAAAACATTTCTGCGACTCTTTTTTTACCGGGCAGTGTGAGCTGCACTACGTTATTTATTTCCCCTGTTTTGTTTTTAGTTCGTACCTACGCCGCGAAAGCAAATAAAGAAATGTACAACAAGCAACTGAAAAAAAAAGGGTCGCTTTCTTCTTTTTTAATTAGTTTCGTCTGTTGCTTCCGCTTTGTTTGTCGTGAACTCAACACCGGTGGCGACCACCAGCTATTCATTTGCTGCTTTCCATTTTTCTTTCTTTTTTCTATAAGCGCCGCAACGATCGTCGTCGTTGAAATAGTTTTTTGCTAGCTTCTTTGTTTTATTCGCCGTTGTCCGCTTCTCTTTCCCGTTTCTTCTTATTTTCGTCGGGAATGGCGACACCATTTTTTCTGCAAAGTTCGGTAAGTGTCGTGTATTTTTATCCTTACTTTTTGTTTTGTTTTTATGCTCCAGCAGCTCGTGCGCTTGCTCTGATAATATTAACATGTCGTTTTTGCATGTTTTACCGATTACGACGTAGTTCGAGTAGCTAAACGCCTTTTTTCCGCTTCCCAGACGCGTTTCAAACGCGTGTGATCCCCTGAGAGGCGTTTGAGACCGCTAAATAAACTGCTCTATCTTTGTTTATGCGCGCGTTGTTATTCGATTGTCGTTGCAGTTGCGATCAGTGGATTCCGCTTTGCAAGCGAACTGACCGTAATAAATTGTTTCTGCTGTTAGGGTGACGATACGGGGCTTGTAAAGCTCGAGGACGTCGCGGAGCCCATACTTTTCCATTGCGACGACTGCTTCCGTAGACTCCGAGTCCGCTAGAGGCGCCACTGTCACGTTCGCCGCCGCTCCTATGTGTTTTCGGAGGAGTTTCCAGTATTGGCGAAGCTATATTGTATTTGACAATACGAATACTTTTACGTCGCGTTTTAATTCTGCGTCATTACGCCCGCTCACCTTGCTCGCGGATGCCATTTGAAAAATAAAAAATAACAAGAACAGTAAAGCTAGAAGGACTGCATATTTATTTTGTTGATTTTTTGTTAGTTCTTTCGGTCGCTTATTACGGCTCATTGATAAACGCTGACAGACGCTGATATTGGACAGAAGCTTGTGCATGACGGAACGCTAGAACGCCGCTCTCATGGTCGCGTCTCCTGAGCGTTGCAGAAATTTTAGACGGGGGAGGGATAGCAGGACGGACGAAAGGCGAAAACGGAAGCCAACGCCTAGCTTTCGGGTCCCGTCTCACGGGCATTGCCGACGACGATAGGCGGCGGTGAGAAATAGCAGACGATGCCGGAGGCTGCCGCGCGTCTGTTCGCACGACCATAGAGTTATTATAATGTACGCAAGACATTCAACTGGCGCTAGTGTCTATGCGACTTCAAGGAGGCGAATTGAAGCAGACAGCAACCAGTCTACTTTTGTGGTGCTCCTGTAAGTTCCTGCGTCAAAACGAGCGTGCATTTTGTCTCTTCTCCTGAAAATAACATGGATAACTTGTTATTTAGGTCGTACCGAATAGTATGTACCTTTATTAACATTGTAAATGCGTAACTGCTTTAGTTACAACATTTTTTTTTTTATCAATGACGGTGTTAAATTTTGCTATATTTCAGGCCCCAACCTCTGTCCCATAGCAGGTACGTTAAAACAAGCGACGATTCTCAGCAAAATAACAATCGAAAGGCATGTAGAGCGTTTTCAAGGTTCGCCATCATTCGGGTGACGCTTATATATTGCTAATATGCAAGTACTGTCCCATATGTGAAAATGGCCCCGTCGTGCATCTTTACGAGCGGTTAAACACATTCAAAACGTAAGGAATAAAGTGTGTATTTTTTTATAATTTGCTATGCCGGTCAGCTTTTATCGGGCGCATGTTCTCTGGCTTCTCCCTATTTTCAATGATTTCAAGCGTGCGGGTGATGTTTTGAACGCAGAATAAGCATATGCGCACACATTCACCAGAAGAAGGAATAAAGCGAAGGAATAAAGCAGGACTTATATATTCCCAATCGGGCTGTATTACGTGGCCTTCAATTTGTTTTGATCGTCTGCATGCACAAAGAGTTAGTGATCCAGTGTTACTGCGTAGTTCTTGCCGTCTCTCTTGGTTTTCCAGATGTCCTTTGTTTGTTTGGAACGTATGGCACGTATATCCCAGATGATGGAAAGCGCCGACGCCTTGTTCGCGCTAACAGTGTCCAACAGTGCAGATAAATAGATATAAGAATCTGTTTACGCACCTTTTTTAATGCCATGACTTTGAAATAAAAACGCTGTAACTGACCACTTATTTTGTGTGCGTGACTGATAGATGCTCCAATCTACCTAGTACGTACGAATTCTTCGTGATATTTTATCTCGTAAATATAAACAACGCAAAGAGAAAATGCACTTGTTTTTTTTTTTTTTTTCATAGGCATCCTGCGTTGCCCAGGAGGCGCTGCGAAAAATGACTTAGGACTTGTTTTGGGTAGTACAAACTTGAGCGACTCAGACTGCCACAGATATAGAAGCGTGCCTGCTCTGGGCGCGGAACACGATAACAAGGAAAATAGAAAAAAAAAAAAAAAAAAAAAAAAAAACGAAGGCCGAAGCTAGGACGATAAAAGCGTGAACCAAGAAACGCCGTATATCGCGTCCCAACGAAACATAAAGGGGAAGAAAAAACAAAAACTTCGGGACGCCAGATGTTCTAACGTCACCATTTAGAGATACGAGACGCGTACCCTAGCGGTGGTGGCATGAATCCGGAACTTTCGATTGTCTTACGGTGTTGAATGTAGCCAATTTCGGACGTCCAAAGGTGTTTTTCCGTTCTTTTGCACTACACAGAAGGAAAAAAATCATGGCGAAGGAGCCACAATAGTGGGAGTCGCAACCAGGTGAGCTTATTGTACTATCCAAAACGGGGGCGCCACAGTTTGTTCAATGCTTCAGCGCAGGAGGCCCATAGAAATACATAACCGGAAGTCAATTTTCGAGTAATTGCCGTCTGCTTCGATTTGAAACAGCACACTAGCGCAATTTAAACCTCTAGCGTACATTGTAATTTATAGTAACTCCATGCGCACGACTAGCAGGCAGTGTCAAAAGCCAGCCTAGGTGCATCGGATGTCGCGAAAGAGAGATCCTAGGCTTGTTAGCATGTTCCCACTAGAAGGCTATAAACATGAAATCTGTAATAATTTACGATGCTGGGTTTTATGAGGGAAGGGACAGGTTACGCTTGGCAGACATGCAGGTCACGTGAAATTATGACGCCACGAGATTCTGTGACGTCACATGACTTGACGTCATGCCCGGGTGTCATGTGACACCATTGTGTCATGTGACGACACACACACACACATACAATGTGTACCCAGCTCGCGCGCAAAACATTATTTGTGCCTCTCAGTTCTTCGCATATGATCAAGATAAGCTTTTCTTCTTTTTTTTTTCAAAAATAGCTTTATTTGAATTTAAACCCTGCAAAAATCTATATTTGCCTCCCATCCCACCCCTCCCCTTCCCCGTTCCCCTAATTAGGAGTAAAAGCCACCGTTAAATAAAAAATAATAGTTCGTTCATTCAATAAGTTGAGCGATTGAGCCTGTCTAGCGGTACAAACAATCAAGAACACCAATTTTTAAGAGAGTTTTCATTCTTATCATGAGCCTAGATCGAAATCTCAGGGAACGTTTTAACTTTCTAGGGTATTGATGCCAGCAAGCCCCGATGCGCCTTCGTTGTCAGCTGTCTTATTGTCAATGCTGCGGAATTTCAGCCCCTTGGTAAGCGTCGACATGTAGCTGGGCACATGGCACTCCAAGGAGTATTCGATATCGTTGACCACTCTCTCCGTCACCATTTCCATGAGTGTGGACAGCTCCACTTCGGTGTTGTCACATGCCAAGATGTCACACAGCTCCTCAATGAAGTAGCCCCTCCTTTCGAGACCTCGGTCGTAGTATCCTGCACATTTTGAACATGGGCCACTCACCGACACTCTTAAAGCAAATAAACTTTCGCCGTTTTTTTTTTTTTTTTTTTTTTTTTAGCTAGTACTGAAAGATTGGTATAACAACTGCTATAATGATAATGGTGAAAACTGCTCAGATGAAGAACTAACGCAAGAGGTAAATGGTGATGCCCACTGATCTCTATGACAATTGCTGGATCGCGTTTGCCCGCTCCGCGAATGCGGTCACTGGCGGCCATCTTTAGGTAGAGTTATATCACCTCTAGCCAATGTAAGCTGCTGCAGCCGCTATCATCCATCCATGGCAGATAGCGTTTTGGCAGGTGGGTTGGCAGGCTGCGATCAAAATAGCGTGGGTAATATTGCGTGCTTGATTAAAATTATTTGACGAAACATGTTTTTGAAACCCGGCGTGAACAGCAGTCCGGTTTTTGAGGACCTGGTAAAAGTTTCACGAAATCGCAGCACCGGAAGAAAAGCAGCACAGCACGTATCGAAAGTCGCATCGAAAGAAGCATCGAAAGCAGACGACGGTACGGAGTCTGCTTTTGATGCGAGCTGCGCTGCTTTCCCCCGGTGCTGCGCTTTCGTAGAACTTTTGTCGGGTCCTCAAAGATGAGGCTACCGTCCACGCCGGGTTTCAAGAATCTGCTTCGTCGAACAACTTCAATCAAGCACGAAATGTCACCCACGGTACAGTGTACTAGATCTATGGCTATTTTTATGGCAGCCTGCCGCCATTGCGCTGTCCGCCATATTACTAGGATGGCTAGAGATGATATAACTCTACTTAAAGATGGCCGCCAGTGACCGCATTCCGCTCCATAGGAGGAGCTGGTCAAACGCGATCCAGCAAATAGACATAGAGATCAGTGGTGATGCCCATCAGTGCCCTTTCGAAGTAAAATTCAATAAAAGAGGAAAAGTCATGTTCGCGCTAACAATGGCGCCCAGTGTACGTTCTCAGGGCTTTCGGGGATTGCCTACAAATAAAAGTAAAACTACACGAGGGTCACCGGGTTTTAAAGTAAACAGTCATCAGGGCGCTTGCTTTTTAAGTGTAATTTCACAAAACAAACAAAAAAGTGTACACCGACTATTATTGTTCTCCGTGTTGTACATAGCTCGTATCCTGTCTGTATCTGGTCATAATACAAATTAAATTTCGGGGCTTAAATCTGTTCAAACGGGGTAAGTAACGGGAACAAGAAATAACTTCATGTCTCATTCTCTTTTCTAGAGCACCTTTAGTTCCCTTTGCACATTATATGTTCGATAATTTACGTTAGGTATTATGATGGGGTTTTTCTGAACTCATATACCCATGTTATAACGTATAACTGCATTAAATAAGCACCACATAAAGTATATTTTAATTTAATGTAATAAACGCTTTGTAATTATGTCGATATTCAATTAAAAATAGTCGACGACACCCGAAAAACCTGAATCATCCTTTGGAGTACTTATCCACCAGGTTGAGGTAAGATTGGTTGCTCTAAAATAAACAATCGTGACAAACTGTTCAAGACGAGGTGTCACCATATCACAAGGAATAGGACTGCATGTCATATGAAAAGGCGATATTATTTTACGTAAACGCCCCAGCTTCTCTGTCTCGGCCGCCTGGCAGAGGTAACGTCCATTCTATGTCAAATGAATCAGATTTATGAGCTACAGATAACAGAACAAGATTTTTGTCATGTCATCTTATACAAAAGGTGGTTAATGCTAGTAGACTCTGCACACCTTATTTTTCGTTTACACAACATCGTCAGCCATCAGACAAGGATATGGACGCTAAGATGAAGGTGGCGCTAATCAATATCAATTTAACTTTTCTTTCACTCCCGGGATAAAGAAAGAGGGTGAGTTGGGGGGAAAAAGTGGCAATAATTCAGCTTGACAAGTTCTCTCCCCCTTCCCTACATTTGGCAACTTTGGGGGCAGGAAAGTAATAAAAACATTTACGGTCTTCGCGTCCATGTCCTCGGCACTGTTTAGATTTGAAGTGATTAACCAACTACGGTCTGTTAGAGGCTAAGACTAGCAAGACAAGCCCTTCCCTCAAAGCTGCCAGCTCGCCATAATTGGCGGTTTCCTTCTCTCCAGTCTTCACTCTCCTAAATTGGGATGAGTGGAGGGCTTTGTGGGAGGAGCTGTTCTTAAATAGCCGACCTTTATATCCAAGTAAACGCGAGCGTTTTGAGGAGCTCACCTGGGGGCGTGGAAAACGCGAAGAAGAAGTCTGCAAGCTCTGGAATTCTTGAGCACTCACCCTCCCCTTCTTTGATACCATCCACCGTGTGGCCGATTGGTTCGCCACCAAAAGCCTAAGACGTGGCAAAAAAAAAGGAAACCAAAAGCAATTTTGTCGATCCGCGTGATGGCCAAGTTATTTCGACATACGCAACCGACTCCGTAGAGATCTCACTATGGTGCGCGGGCTATATACTGAAGCCGTAGTCGCACTGCTCATATATCGTGCACAAGACACGGTATTCGCTAGAGACATGATGAAATAATTACCTGCAGACACACACCTAGTCTGTGGCAATCATTTAATCGAAAGACGTTTCATCGATAGATCCTTTCATCGACAAATCGTTTCATCGATAACTCAGATTATCATTTTTCTGCGTTAAGCTACATCAGACTGTGGCCGCGAAGCGGCGTGTAACGGTGTGTCAGGTGGGTTACCACTTTTGTAATGAGCCGCTTCAAACTGTCGCCGCTAGGCAGCGTAAACGGGCCGGATGGGTCAACACGCACTCCAGCGATGCACGCCCGACGAAATGTCCCTACAGCGTGCAACTCGCGTAACGAGTGTCGATGAAACGGTCGTGTCGACGAAACGCGTGTCCATGAAACGTGTGTCCATGAAACGTGTGTCCACGAAACGTAATTCCCCGAAACGAGTTTCGACGAAACGATAGGAACCCGTGTTAGCGTGCTCATTCGCGCAAAGTATTGGGAGAGCCAATCGCTACCGTCTACGGATGCAGCTTGGCGAATGACGAAGCTGATAATACCGGGAGTTCCCGACAAAAAAGGACCGTGTTTTTCGGGCCGGCCCGGTCCACAGAAAACTCAAGCTCCTTGACGATATGATGCAGCAGTTGGGATAGAACGCGAAACTTTGAGAACACGACGTTACCTGGATCAAAATATAATTGAGAAAGACAAAATTTCTTTATGAGCCGACGCCGACCTAAGCATAATATCGTCAAAACAAGAAATAATATTCTGAGCGCCGGTAACATTTATTTTACTGGAAAAAAATCTTGTCCCAAACAATGAAAATTGTATTATCTTTCTTGGTGACAAGTGTTTTTCACTAATATAAATCGCACGAGCGTCCCTCTAATGTCAGGTCTCGCTTTTACGATGTTAGGTTTAGGTGGGCGTCGGCTCATAGAGAAATTTCATATTTTCTCAATTAACTCTTAATCCAGGTAACGTCAGACTCTCAGACTTTCGCGTTATATCGAAAACCGCTAGCGTCACAATCTAACAGAGTTTGAGCTTTCTATACGATGTATACGTTATTTATCCGGGCCGCAAAAGACTGTTCTCTTTTCTCGGTAACACCCTATATATGTTTAGACGCAGCACTGAAATGTTATGCTAAGAGTCACAGCCCCGACTGTGCAGATTACAGCAAGTGACTCGCGCAAGTGATTTGCGGGCAAGTAGATCGGACCTTTTGTAAGACGAAAGCCTTACTTGTCCCATTACGCGAAAACTCGGCGGCGTTGTCCCCGAAAGATGGTCATAAAAATGCGTCATCAACATACTTGGGTAGTAATTCATTTACAGTAATTAAATTACTGTAATTTAATTACTTTTCCTAGTAATTTGTAATTGTAATAATTACTTTTGGCTGAAAGGAATGGTAATTGTAATTTAATTACTTTCTAGCATCAGTAATTGCTAAATTTCAGGCACAATTACAATTACTTTTGCAAGATTTTGCGGCGGTGGCGCTTTTCCCCCCTGGCCACGGCGACGAGAGCACAACCGAAGCAATAAAGGGAGAGAGTCTCCCAACCTGCTCAAGAAAAGGGAAAAGAGGGATGGGATAGAACGGAATGAAGGATTTTGTAGACTGCAAAACGATTTCATGAAGAATTTGAGAAATAATTTGATAAATGAGGGCTTCATTCGCGTCCGTTTTCGTTCCTGTCGTAGTTGAATCTGACTCTTCGTCTCGTTCGCTTCCTGTTGCTCCTGTTTCTAGGGGTCTTTCTTATTTCTCATTCCCACACGGGGGCATCGGGGGTCGAAGTCGAGCTGGTTGGCTCCGATCACATCATCCGGTCGAGGCGGGGAGGTTCGAGGTTTTCCTTACGCGTCTTCGCCGCTTGCATATTCGCTTACATATTTCAGTCAAGTTTGGGGACTTTTTTGTTCATGAAATTATTCTCTTTTCTTTATGAGTTTTTCACGTCTTTCTCCTCTATCTCGTATGTTGGTACCACTTGCACTGGTCGTGCTACTCTAACATCGAGGCGAAGAAGCGCAGTTTAGCAACAACAGTTGGAAGTAAGGCAGGGTGAGTCGTGTTAAGGAGACCTGCTGCTTCTTTTCTTCTTCGCCTGACATGACGATCCTAAATTTATTATATATCTCAGGAGCTTTTTTTTGGGTGTTACCGTGCACTGAATTAACCCAGAATCCCTGGCAAGAGAGTTGCTGCTATTGTGACACTAGTTTTGTGGAAGCGACCGCAGTTCGCGTGCTACGATTACCCACATCCGACATGTTACAAGTCCACAGACAGGGAGAGGAAGCGAATCATCGAGTTTGATGATACCAGTACTGTCGCATATTTGTTTCCTTGTATTATTTTTAAGTTTACTTTTTGTTGGTTTGACTTGGATACCATTTGCACAAGCTCTAAAGAGATTCACCTCGCACCTGTGAATTTTGTCGCCATTTATTTTTATTTTTTGAGAATATAAGAAATCAGGAGTTCATTACTCCGAACTATTAAGTTCTATAATCCATTTCACAAATTTCATAAAAGGAAAGTACAATGCGTGACATTTATACAGCGGCCATAAAACTCGTTTACAGTTATATGGCCCAAGGTGGGTAACTCTCAGAAATAAGTAATTGTAAAGTAATTGCATTACTTTTAAAAAGTAATTTGTAATTGCAATGAACTACTTTCGCGTAGTAGTAATTGTAATTGTAGTTAAACTAATTTGGGAGCTAAGTAATTGTAATTATAATTAAATTACATTTTGAAAGTAATTTACCAATGTATGGTCATCAAGTACGCGCCTCAGAAATAAAACACGAAGAAAAGCATAGCAGCAGATGCCTCGTCACGGAAGCCGGCGAGTGTGGTCAAGGTCAAAGCGGGCGCGTCAGAAATAAAAACACAAAGAAAAGCACTGCAACGCAGATGCTTCGCCACGGAAGCCGTCCCGAGGCCGGCGCGGGGTTCGCCGCGCCTGCGCAGTGGGGGAGCGTGATGTGATAGGAAGACGTGGCGCGACGCTTGTAGGTATGCGCTTCGTGTACGAATGCTTTCGCCTTCCTATCTCTGCCGATCTTTTGTTCCTGGTTGTCAACGTGGTTCCGACTTCGGTCACACGATTCATCGCGCGTCGGAATACTCACGTCGATGAAAAAGAGTTTTGGTTTTCCGACGAGTGTGTCACAAGCTCTTCCCGTAAAGGGTTCGGCCAGCCTGTGCAGTTGCAGGGGCCCATCACTGGCGAACAGTTGGCCTCCCCTGCCGCAGGGCAGAAGAATGCACACGAAGCTGGCATCGCTTTTTTTCAGTATTTCCATTGATGCCACTGCGAGAAGAAGAACATAAAAATCGAGATTTGCAAATCAGAGAGGTTTGTATGTAGTTCCCGACAGCTTAAGAAACGAAGGGAGTGGCTCATTAAGTTCCCGCCCCTTGCCTCCTGATTGGTTCTTGGGCTTTCCTATCGACTAATGCCGCAATCTCATTGGCTGCGGAAAGATAATAAGATGCATGAAGCGCGCCACGCCCTGCGCGTCTTATGTTGTCAGTGACGGTAGTTGTCACATTCGTCAGACATCTCTTGACTAAGTCGCACGGTATCAGTATGCAAACCATGTTATCAAAATACATAAAATATATCCAGGTCCAGAACAACTAACGGAGAGCGCTCACTTCTCTATAACTTAACCACACTCCTGAATAAACTCTTTTATAAAATAACGCTCCGGAACCATGAACGAACAGGTTTTCGATCTCATATTTAATGTCTGCTACCTGTTTGTAATCTTGTAAAAGCTCATTTTCGTGTTTCCCGTTTTTCTTCTAGTTTTTTTTTTTTTTACTTTTTTTTCTGTGAATATATAGAATGAATATAATGTACGCTACGCGACTTTCGGGATGCAAATTGAAACAGACAGAAACCAAACTACTTTTGCGGTTCTCTTGTGCATTCTCAGGGAGAACGCGCGCGCATTTTGTCTTCGCTGAAAAACAACATGAATCTCTTTTTTTTTTTATTTCGGTCGTACCGAATAGTATTTTAGTCTATTAAGATTCTAAATGTATATCCGCTTTAAGTGCAGCCTTTTTATTCGTGGGTGAACAATGTCAAACTTCGCTATACTTCAGCCCTAATCCTGTGTTCCATTGAATCTTGTGTAGACACGAGCGACGAATCTAAGAAAAATAACGATCGAAAGGAATGTAGAATGTGTCCAAGGTTCGCCAGCCTTCCGATAATGCTTATATATTTCTAATATGCCAGTCCTGTCACATATATGAAAATGACCCTGTCGTACATCCTGACGAGTGGTTAAAAACATTCAAAACGTAATGAATACAGTACGTAAGCCATGAACAGTGCTTTTTTTTTTTTTTCTATGCCAGGGAGCTTTTATCGGGTATCTGTTTTCTGGCTGCTCCCTATTTTCAAAGGTTTCGAGCGTGCAGGTGATGTTTTAACGCCGAACAAGCATATTCGCACATGTGCATAAGCAGAAAAAAGAAAGCAATACTTACTTATTGCAAACCGGACTGAAAGAAGAAAAAAAATCTTTGCCTTTATTTTGATTGTCTAGATGCACAAGGTGTTACTGATCCAATGTTACTGCACAGTCTTTGCCGTTCCTTTTGGTTTTCCACGTGTCTTTTCGTTCGCTCGGTACGCAAAACCTTCCTTCAGAAAAGCGCCGACGCCATGTTCGCGCTAATATTACCCGGCACTGCATGTAAATGCATGTATGAAGTTGTTTCAGTAATGTGTTTAATGACATGTATTTGAAAGAAAAACCCTGTAACTGACCTATATTTTCATTTACGTGATGGAGACACGTTTGAAACTATTTACTGCGTTATAATTATTTGTAATATTTGCTCTTACAATCAGCACAAAAAAAACGAAGCGCGCCCGCTTTTGCCCGCAGAAATGCATTACCAGAGGCCAATTTTCGACTGGTTGCTGTCCGCTTCAATTTGCAACAGTATACTAGCGCCAGCTCTACAGCGTACACTATGATAACTCTATGAGTGACTGTCACTTTTATAGTTTCATTTGTGAATCGTACTGACACGCCTGACAGCCCGTTCACACACATGCAACCGATTAGGACCGACTGAGACGAGACCGGTTTTTAAGCTTCTTGCGACGGCGTAGGACCGTATGCGCTGCTGTGGAGCATAGGGTGCCTCCATGTGCGCTTCGCACATGAAGGCTCCCTTGTGCCGTATGCGCTGCTGTGGAGCATGGGGAGCCTTCATGTGCGCTTCGCACATAAAGGCTCCCCATGTGCGCTTCGCACAAAGCGCACATGAAGGCTCCCTAGTGGAGCAGGCCCAAAGCCGTCGCAAGAGGCTTAAAATCCGGTCTTGTTTCAGCCGGTCCCACTTGGTTGGAAGCGTGTGAACGGGCCTCGATATATCGCCAAGAGATGATTGGGGACCAAGATCAAAGAGAGGCAGCAGCTCAAACTGTGGCCAGCTCTTGCAACTTTGTGCACAATGTACATTGGTCGCAAGTGCGCGTGCGTTGCGCTGTCGCGTGGCGAGGAGGATAGCTGACGGAGATGAGGAGATGCTTCTTGCAGACGATAGCAAATGTTTTTGTAATCTTCTCGCAGCTCACGTGGCGAACACGGCCGATAAGACACGTGACCCAATCGAGCAGCTTGGAAAACTCTGATATAAAGGCACACTAACTAACAGGGTTGGGAGTCGGGACCCTCAAGTTGCTTCGTCGTGCAGCTTTTTCTCCCGTACCTCTCGCTCTTCGCGAGTGGAGATAAAAGACAGCAATCGGGCTTTAGCAGTAATGGGTCACGTAATAGCACCTAGAAAAAAAGGCCTGCTCGTGACGTCACCGTAAGTGGGTTCCGAACCCGCCCCAAGCGTCCAACACGCAGACGTTCAACGAGAGACGACGGAAAGCGGCAGGCGCGTCCGTCCACATCATGTGCAACTAATAGCCTTACCATTTGCCATTTTATCGTACAGCTCTTGCTCGGACAAATCCGTGTAGGTCTGAACCAGGAAGCCTCTCTTGCTCCAAACGTCATTGAGTTTCTTCACGTGATCCAAGATGTCTGGCATGCTTTCACCTCTCTTGGGGCCGTCTGGATATTTCTACATGAAGAAAAACCAGTGAGCAACAATTCATCGGCGGCATTTAACGTAATAAATTGCATTTAAACGTAGACATGGTCGTTTATTTGTTCATTCCTTCCAATTACCTTACCGTTCGGCTACCTTATGGTCGCCGCATGGAGTTCATTTGCGCTTTGATTTGTGTTTACTCTTTTACTCGGTGAGCTCATCCCTTGAAATGTTGACAGACAACGCCATCTTCGGCCACCACAGTAGAAAATATTAGCTCAATACGTTAAGAAGGGGGGATGTTTTCGGGGAGGGATGTCCGAGACGTCAGTGATCGGAGCAACCAGCGGGACTCCCTCCCCGGCTCCAGCATTCACACGAACGGCGAGGAGCCGAAAGGGATGCCAGTGTTAGTGGACGCATTTAGCCGTCGCACTCTTGACAGTCAGGCTCGGGGCGCGCTGATGAGAGTAGAAAAACGGAGGCGTACATCAAACGGCGGTGCGCGACTACGGCAGCGACGCTATTAAATACAAAAACAAACTGCTTCCTGTTAAAAAAAACAAAAAGACTTAAGGGTGGATGGAACCAGATTTGTACGTACGTATATAGTTCAGCTACTCTACATAAGTTACTCTGCTTTAACTACTTTTTTGAGTAGTTTAGTAACTTTAAATTAGATTTTTATTTCGGAAATTAGTAGTTTACTTTATTACTTTTTCCGAGTAACTTTTGCTCAAATTACAAATTACTTTCGAATTTCAGGGCAAAACGCCTATCAACAAACATTCCTGCACAAAACGAGATAAGATTTTTTGAAGATCAGCTGATATTTGCTAACAGGGGGAAGTATTGGCATAGGGAAAAAGGGGGGAGGGGGTAGAAAGTGGTTTGGGAGAGCCCGAAACCCCCAAAAGTTTCATGAGCCCCCCACTGCAATAACACTGCTACGAGGTGCGGGGAGCGAAAAGACTTGACGCAAGAGAGTTCGAGTAGCTGTGGGATTAGCGCCGAAGACTGGCATTTCTCTTTGTCCCAAAGTTCAAGGAGACTTTACCCTTTTGAAGAAAGGGCTGGTCCCAGATTCTCCCCAACGCAGGAACTTACGCCCACCACAGGAGGTGTACACAGTGGATCCTCACTCAAAGGAGGCAACAAAAATCTCATCTGGTGCTCCCGTAGTCTGTGCTGTACTCGAAGAATCGCGTGCTAAAGGGCAAGATAAATGTGACCTTTCTGCCGATCCCTTTTCTCCCAAAACTCAAAATATGCAGATCTCCAAAGATTCGAAGGTCGTTCGAGAAACCTTAGTAATTCCCCCAAGGTTTTTATATAAAAATATAATAAAGAAGCAGTTTTGGAAGTACTTTAAGTACATGTTACTTAAAGTACTACTGTTTAGAAAGCTTGTACTTGCCGTACATTCTCCGAGTATGTACTTGTACTTTACTACAGTATTTTTTGTGGCACTTTCCGAGGAAAGTAAAACTCCCGACTTCAATGTACATTCCTTGAGTTTGAAAATAAAAAAAATGGCGTCGTGTAAAAACACGCTCTTTCGAGACGTCATCTGGTCATTTCTCTGAGTGAAGTAATGGCGGCTATAAGACCGACACAACTGAATACCTTTTAATCTTATTGTGTCAAATAGCTCGTCATCGAGAGTAAAACAACTACTCTGTGGCGATTTGATTTTATATAATACTTGCTCCCATTTCAGTAAAAAAACTTACGCGCTTCCGATTACCCCTGGAGCAATATATACCAGTTTAAAAAACACTGTATAGGAAATGAAAGGGCATCATGAAAAATTGTCAAACGTACCTGTACTTTACCTTGAAATATATTCTATTTACAGTACGTTACTTCAAGTACATTGCACCCGGTGTACTTACTACTTTACTTAAAGTAGATAACATCTCATTTACTTTGTGCTTTACTTCAAGTACTTTTCATATGTGTTTTACGCAACACTGTAAACAAGCAAACATTGTCTAAAAAATCAAGCTCAGGCGCAGTGCTAAACCTCATAATAAAAATTATAATTCGCAATACATCATTGACCAAAAAATTAAAAAAAAGTACAAAACAATTAGTCACGCAGAAGGAGAACCAGCTATTAAAGCATATCTGGGAAAAGTAATCCGATTCATATTTGGCTAGCACAATGGACCTTTTCCGAGAAGCGTTCTGCGCGTGCGCGAGCGCCCGATACCAAGCGGCGGAGGTTGGCACGAAAAATCGAGGAAATTATTGAGGAAATTCGGAAGGAGGCTGTGGATCAGCGAGTAGAACATGTAATTGCAGTATATATATAATTGTGTTAAGCAAAAAAAGAAAGTGGACGGAAAGAAAAACACGACGTTTGGGTGGACTCCAAGGATAAAGTCGCGTTGCGCACGCGCTACAGTTTAGAGAACGAAGACGTAGCTCCCATTGTCGACTGGTAGCGCAGGTAGGTCACTTCCGCAATTTTTAGTTCGTGCAGCCACCGCCTGGGGCCGTCTATATGTGCAAAAGGTCCATTTCGCTAACGGATCAAAACCTATGTACTTTCTTGTTACCATAAAAAACACGTAAAAGTAACTTCAAAAGTACTTTGCTACTTTTTTACGGTAGTTAGTGATTTCCTCAATTACTTTCCATTTGAGTAATTTCTACTCTACTCAAATTACTTTTGAGGACAGTACTCAGTAACTTAACTTAATTACTTTCCTTTTAGTAACTTGTACATGTGCAACTTGTACACGTCTGGATGGAACACAAAGACCGTGAAATCCAAAACCAGTTGTTTGAGGAGCTGCTTGAGGTCGTCCTTGATGAATATCCGATACTCCTTTGACTGCCTCCGATGACACGCGCGAGCCACAACAAGTTAGGCAATCCCGATGCCACTTCCGGCATTCTGCAGAGCAGCAGATGCAAAAGACACGCGAACGATCTCCTGCCAAGGAGGGGACTGTTCGTTCAGCCCGATCAAAAATCTCCCCCATCCCCCGGAGATGTGTATACGTCAGCGCGCCTCCTCCGCGCCAGGGAGGGACGTTGTTTTTACGTCATGCGCATCTCGTGGAGTAGAGGGAGGAGTCCCTCTCCCGTGTGAATACTCTTTTAAGAAACCGATTTACGCGGTCCGTTTAAAGGGCCTACGATCCATTTTAGTCATGCTGTAGGTTCTATTCTTCATTTCAGCTTACATCCGGACGCAGCAGACGTTACAAGCTGATGGGACCAATCAAACCGTGTCAAAAGCGCAAGTTACTGGGCGTTCCCTGCACGTGGTTTAGCATCGCTTTTTGGCGATGATAAAACACTGGAGAAACACCATCTGTCATTGACCCTATCAACTCGTAGAGAGGGCTGCGTTCGGACATAAGGGGAAACGTAGTATCGCCACACGGCAACACTCGCAAGAGCATGAATGGGGTTCGGAATTCGGACACTGCTCACCGTGTAGTAAGCGATGACGCAAACGCCGTTCTCCACGGTTACGGGGTAAAACTCTTCTTTAACACTGTGCCACGATTTGAGGGCAACCCCTTCGTCCAATCTCTGGCCGATTGCTGGGAGACTGCAAGAAGATTCACAAAGTCGGTAATTGACGGTTAAAATGCAATTTGGCGATCAGGCTTCCAGTAAATCTCAGGGCATGTGCGTTCGTTTATCCATTGAAGTGCGAAATCAAAAGTCGAGTGTACTTAAAAAGAAAAAAAGTTGTCTCGCAAATTGTGGGTGCGCCTTCGAAGAGATCGAGTGCATTCAAATCGATGCCAGTTCAAATAGAGACGGACTGCCCTATATGCTTATACTCCTACTAGATCCGCAGTCTCAGCACCCATCATACAAAACACAGTCTGCAGATACGGGTGCTCCCGGGGTTCGCGGCCCTGGGGTTTGACGTGTAGGTGTCGCTCTCATCGCAGCGCCCGAGTCGTTTATACCGAGAAAGTTTGGCCGATGGGCGGAGCTCGTGGCCCAGATAGAAAAACCCAACCTCATGATAGCAGAATTATTGATTGAGTGATTGATTGATTGATTGACGTTGTCTTTAATGAGTCGCAATCGCACCGCTCACACATTCTACAAAAGACGTGGCCGGTGTCCACTGCAGACATCATCAAAATGTTATCTGTGGACAAGTTCAAGCAGAGTTCGAGGCATATTTGCTACATGTGTGCTTCGAACATGTCTGCAGACAGTATTTTGTATGACGTGGTAGCGGAGTGACCAGGGTTTTAGGGTATGGCCTCGCATGTAAGACTTGCAGTCTGTACAAGGAAGGTTGCAGCTTGATACGTGTCAACAACACAAGATGGCCGGAGGAAGTTTTTAAATTTCCGATTATCAGACCCATAGCCGCGGTTGCCAGAGCGCAGGTATAATCAAAAGATTGGCCCCCTCTCGCTGCAAGCGGCTCTGAGCGTGCCAATTGGTGACTTGCGAAATTTCCATGGGCTGGTCGAGGGCAGAGCGAACTGTCGCAGAGTAGGCGTCTACCGCATCATGACCGCAGCCCACTCCGCTGCTGTGCCACCAACGGAATGGATGGATGGATGAGGCTGAATGAACCCTTTGAACTGGGCTGCGGCTTGCGCCCTCTAACCAGTGCATTCTTTTCTTCTTTTTTTTTTTTCGCGGCGAGCAGCAGCGGTTTTGGAGTTACACAGCTGTGAAGTCACCAAACAGAAACCGAGTAAAATAAATGACAACGCGGAAAAACAAACCTGTCGCATACACGTTCGAGGTACCATATGTGAATGCTTGTCGCTCTAAAATACCATAGAGAACCTTCTATCTTATTTTTAATGCCCTCCTCGTTGTCGAGGATTGAACATGTGAGGCTCTTTCTCTGATAACATTATTCTTAGAAAACACAATAGTTTTTTTTTTTTTTTTCACAGCGGAGCTGTTAAGAGCTAGTTTCCCCAGGATTGTGTCCGGTACCAAACAAATGTCGACACCCGTGGCCGATACAACACTCTGGTTGCCGCCGTCGCTCATAGATGGCGGTAGCTGTCCAGAGTGTTGTGTAGAGAGGCTACACAAGACTCTGGACAGATACCGCCATCTATGATTGGCGGCGGCGAATGGTTTCGCAACCGTTGCGAAGACCCTATCGCCTAAAGTTCGACTGCGTCGGGCGCTTCAGATTCCCTTGCGAAAGAAGAGCAGATCGCTCGCCTAGAAAGTCACCGCCAAGAACAGTAGCTACGCTCCGTTGCTCTTCCTTCTTCACAAGAGCGGAAAGGCTGAAGTTTTTTTCGTACATCTTGCTACTCACAAAACGCCATAGTGTTGGACACTGTTCGCAGTGGACGCTAAGAGCAAGCTCCCATTTATCGTCTCCCAAGAAAAACGACCCGACTGTGTGGAACGGACATTGAATGTCCAGGCTGGTGCATTCCTCTGAGTCGAAATGTTTGTTCTTGGAAGCTGTTAAATACGAACTATAGACGCTCTGCATCACTGTGCATGGGCGCCGCCACAACCGATCTCAATTTTTGTTTCCTCTTATTACGTTTACTTCACTTCATCATAACCACAGCAGAACAGGTTATTACCTATTTATATTCTACTGTGTCCTTCTCCCCAGTATTGGCCTTTGTAGAGGCTTCTCAACGCCCGCTTCAGTGGGTCGGCATCTAGGTAAGACAAGAGAAGGTCAGCAGTGGCGGCTGTAATCTGACAAGTTTGCAAAGCCTCTATACTTGGGGCACGGATTTCTAGCAGTGGAGCCAAAGCAACCCACATCTTGTCCCTGTGTAGAGTTCTCAGAATGCGCTGCGAACAACGTCCAACAATATGGTGTTCCGTGAATACTTCCTATAGCTTCAGGGCAATGAACAGGAGGCGCCCCGGTCCGTCAGCGCGGCTGGTGGGCAAAATAGGCATCTTTGGGAGATCATCGAACTACCTAAGATGGGGTGCGAGCTCTGCAACAGAGTTTGGGAGGGCTGTTGGACGTTCGTGCTAGAGATCGGGTTTAATGATTGAGGCCGCGGGCAGTCTCAGAGTTGCAAAAATCCCGCATCAGATGGCGCCACCTGTCAAACCAAACTTTATTGCCAAGGGCTATGGAGTTATTAGACAGTTTTAGTTAATCGTGCGCTAAAGCTTTGCTTTCGCAAAGGAGAATTTGCCGGTAGAGGGTGCGCATGCACAGAGCGCAATAAAAGGGCTAGCGTATTGCGTACGCACGCAACGTTGGGGATTTTGCGTTGCGGCCTTTGCGGCTTTGCGGGGAAGATCTCGGTAGATCTCGGGCCCACCGATAGCACCAGTTTCAGTATGGCGGTTGCCTCCACTGGCACAGCAAGGACGATGTGGTGTTCGCGAAGCTCAGCGTTAAGTCAAATTGCATGGTGTTCACCTCGAACAACTCTTTCCGGGACCTACCACGGTCGAATCAAATCGCCGTGCAGCTGAGGGAGCGCATAGTGAGAAAGTTCGCCACTCGCAATGTTTGCGAACACTGCGATCTGCTCAACGCTAAGCCTCTTCGCGTAGTTCATCACCGAAGGACGAACGACTCTTCAAGAAATTGTCGAAGTTGTCACTGGACATCAGTGGGTACTGGATTTCTTCCCGGGATAGAATTGAAAGAGGCACTGACACCCCAAAGGTCGTTTTTTTTTTGTTTTTTTTTTATTATCATTGTCCAAAACGATGCAAGTTGTAGTCTGAGACAAGCAAAATTTAACCGCATCGCGAAAAAAACAAAAATTCCTTACGCGCGAGCTGTTTTCTTTTATTCTTTTTTTATTTATTTTTTTTTTTTTTGCGTTTTGTCTCCCGCCGTTCATTTCCTCGCTTCTTTTGATTGGTGACGTCAAAAATCATGAAATTTATAAGCTTTGTAGGCGACATTTCTATAACATTTAATAACGGCAATCGTAAAACATGGTTTTTAACGCAATTGCGACCTCACTATACGGCCCTTCTTTTTGAAATAACAAAAAATGTGATGTCGCCTCCTATAGATTTGTATCCTCGCTCGGAAAACATGGCGGCGCTCGACGCACGTAGCAGAGGAGGCAGAAGATGATCGGTGAGTCGGGAAATCGGACGAAGAAACCTGTTTTTCCCGGACCGCCGGCGCCCTCCTCTCCCGCTCCTCATCTCCTCGCTTCGGGTCGCTGTGGCAACGGCGGTTTGCTTTGTACTAGCGTGGAGCGGAGGCGTGAAAGAAAGTAGACTCGCAGAACTCCGCAATATTTGACGTCACCGCATTGGCGCGGATCGCGCGAGAACGTCAAATTTGGCATTTGGAAATTGTTTTTTTACTTCACAAATACTGAATTCCCAAGTTTCGAATTTTGAGGGTAATGACCAGGCATCGTTTTCAGTCATTTCGGATAATAAAAAAAAATGATTTTGATATGTCAGTGCCCCTTGAAAGAAGGTGCCGTTTCCATGGGACGATTGATGGAAACTCCGCGATCGAATTTTGCTACGTACTCGTAAACGTAGCCTCCGTCCCCCGCAAAAAAAGCACGCTCGACCAAGCAGCTCCGGCTTGGTTTAATTAGAAAGAAAATTATTAGACACGCTTTTGTTTTCAATCAGAGCCAGAGTATCGCGTTCCTTTTTCTTTCGCCGCCAACTCCGTATTGGCGAAAAAGAGGTCACGTGCACCGAGCTGGATCCGACCTTCGTGCGACAAAGAGGCTTTGAAGGTGCCGGTTTCGGGCGGATCATGTTCCTCGCTTTGCGTTTGCGAAATATACACCCTACACTAAAATAGAACGAACTAGGAGGTTTCTTGACCATTCAACATTATGTGCAACCACTGGATACAGTATAATCGCGTTGTTTTATAATGCGAGCGATGTTTTCAAACATGTTTTCAAAGTCTGGGAAGAAGATGACAGGAGGGCGATGACGTAGCTCGCGCATCCGGGGCTCTTGCAGAAGCAACGGTCGCTTCCCGCGCTGCGGCCTTGGATCCAACATGGCCGTACTGAAAGCGCCATTACGATACTCTGCTCTGCAAGGCGGAGCATATACAGTTACTCTAGCAGAAGTCTACGGCTCTGGCAAATTGAATCAAAAAGATCATTCGAGATGCTTACTGGGCAACCTAACGCACGCCTAAAATCGGTCCGAGCATTGCTTGCGTAAAAGCCAGCAATACAATACTGCCGCGCGCCAAGTAGGCAGCGCGGCCGTGGTCTAACGGTTATCGCGCTTGCCTCCCTGCCAAGAGCCAGGGTTCGATTCCCGGGAGTTGCGCGTCCTTCTGTTTATTCTTGCAGTTTAATGTTCTGGTGAATTTGAGAACTCTGTCGCCTCTTCGAGGTGCGGATGTTCTAGTCGCCGAACCTTCCAGGTCGATTGTTCCAAAAGCTAACGCGTGTACATAAGGGGCTCCACGTGGCGATCTGCAGTCAGTCTCACCCCAGAGCTCGAACCTGCTGTTACGCCGACTTCGACGCCCGCGACGCTTTGTTCTCATCTTCTGTTTTTTTCTTTTTGGTTTGGGCACAAACTTCTCATTAAACGTTTAGTTTCTTCAGTTATTCTTCGCCTCATCATTTGTCATTTGTGACAATACTAAAACTGTATATTAAA